TGATTTTATTTTATTTTTTAAAGTCAGTGAATAGTTTTTTTTTTGTTTTGTTTTGTTTTTTAATTTATTTTTGTTACAGATGTTTCTCTTTTCCCCATTGACACCCTCCTCCCCATTCCCACCCCACCCCATCCCCAGCTTTGTTGTCTATGTCCATTGGTTATGCGTACATGCATATAAATTCTGTGGTTTATCTCTTCCCTCCTCCCCCACCTCCTCTTCTGAGGATTGTCATCTCTTCCACATCTCTGGGTCTACCCTGTTCTTCAGACTGTTATGTTCATTATATTCCACAAATAAGTGAGATCATGTGATATTTGTCTTTCTCTGCTTGGCTTATTTTGCTTAGGATAATACTCTCCAGGTCCCTTCATGGCGTCTCAAAGGATAAGAGATCTTTCTTTCTTACAGCTGCATAATACTCCATTGTGTATATGTACCACTGCTTTTTTATCCATTCGTCTACTGATGGACACTTGGGCTGTTTCCAGATCTTAGCTATTGTAAATAGTGCTGCTATGAACATGGGGGTACATATATTCTTTCTGATTGGTGTTTCAGGCTTCTTAGGGTATATTTCTAGAAGGGGGATCACTGGGTCAAATGACAATTCAATTTTTAAATTTTTGAGGTGACACCATAGTGTTTTCCATAGTGGCTGCACCAGTCTGCATTCCCACCAGAGTCCCCTTTTCTCCACACCCTCGCCAACACTTGTTTGATGATTTGTTGATGGCGGCCATTCTGACAGGTGTGAGGCGATACCTCATTGTTGTTTTAATTTGCATCTCTCTGATGATTAGTGACGTTGAGCATTTCTTCATATGTCTCTTGGTCATTTGTATGTCCTGTTTCGAGAGGTGTCTGTTTAGCTTCTCTGCCCATTTTTTAATTGGGTTCTTTGTTTTCCTTTTGTTGAGTTGTGTGAGCACTATATATATTTTGGAAATTAACCCCTTGTCTGATGTATCATTGGCAATGATGCTCTCCCATACAGTGGGTTGCCTTTCCATTTTGATGGTTGTTTCTTTTGCTGTGCAGAAGCTTTTTAGTTTGATGTAGTCCCACATGTTCATTTTTTCCTTTGTTTCTGTTGCCTTAGGTGATGTATCAGTGAAAATTCTGCTGTGTATGATGTCTGAAATTTTGTTGCCTACACATTTTCGGTTCTTATTAATTTTAGAGAGAGGAACAGGGAGAGAGAGAAGAGAGAAACATTGATGTGAGAGGGAATCATTAATTAGTTGCCTCCCATCCATGCCACAACTGGGGATTGAACCCACCATCTTTTGGTGTATGGGACGACACTCCAACCAACTGGCCAGGGCAGAATCAATAACACTTTGAAATGGACCTGAATTTCTTCCATTACAAGAATGTTACACACATTGGGGAGTAATTTTTATGGTTGCCCTGCGCTGGGTGGCAGTGCTGGCTTCTGTCTTGTCATTGGCACAACAGACCCACCAGTAGGGTCTGAGATTCTCCTTTTTACACCTCCTAGTCCTGAATGGTGCCTCCTTGGTCCTGCCATGTGTGGGAGTCAGTGTCTCTTCAGGGTTCGAATGCTGTGACGAGCAGGGCCCTTGGTACTCCCCTTCTCAATCCTGAGGCCCAGGGGCCAGGAACTAGTGGCCTGTGGACAGCAGCTTCCTGGTGGGGTTTGGGTCCCAGCCCTGCTGTGGCTGGCAGCCTGACCTTGGACACATGTCCTCATGCAGTTGACTTTCGGTTTTTCCTTCTGTAAGTTGGCAGCAATACCTGCCTTGTGACTTCACTTGAGACTTGGTCTTTAAAGTGCAAAGCACTACACCTGGCTCAGAGCAAGTGCTCAGAAATCCAGCATCATTCCCTTTTCTCATCACACGCTCCCCTCCTCTGCGGTCGCCTTTCCAGTCTGCTCCCTCCTCCCTGGCCCTCCTGAGAGCTGTCCAGCACCAGGCCTGCCCCTCCCCCCAGTAAGCCCTGCTCCCTTCCTTGCAGGGCTATGGGACGCACCTGATGAACCACCTGAAGGAGTATCACATCAAACACAGCATCCTCTACTTCCTCACCTATGCTGACGAGTATGCCATTGGCTACTTCAAAAAACAGGTGACCTAGCCCTGGCCAGTTTGGCTCAGTGGTTAGAGCGTCCGCCTGCGGTCCGGAGAGACCCGGGTTCGGTTCCCGCTAAGGGCATGTACCTCGGTTGCAGTTTGTCCCCGGCCCTGGTTGGTCGTGCGGGTGGCAGCCACTCGATGTGTCCCTTTCACATTGGTGTTTCCCTCTCTCTCTCTTCCTCTTTCTCCCTCCCACTCTGTCTGTACAAAAAAAAAAACAACAACAAAAAAACAGGTGACCTTCACCTCACCCCACCCCACACTTACTTACCTGCCACCTGGGGTCATTCAGTTCCCCTGTTCCATCCAATATCTGTAGGGACATTCTTCCTGCCTGTCTTCCTCCCTCCTGCTGCTGCCCCAGTGAACAGGGTCTTGTAGGGCAGTAGGGTAGCCAGCAGAATTGGGAGGCTCTTGGGGTGAGTCAGAAGGGGGCTGACCTAGGGTCTTTCCAGGGACAGATTGAGCCTTCAAAGTGCAGAGCACTGTGCTGGGAACTACCAGAGGGAATTCAGGAGCTGGAGAGAGGGGCTTGGCATGCAACTGGCCCCCAGGTGTTCCTGGAGGAGGGGCTGTTAAAATGGGAAAATCTTGCTGATGGGTTGGGTCATGACTCCCACTCCCTAGGGCTTCTCCAAGGACATCAAGGTGCCCAAGAGCCGCTACCTGGGCTACATCAAGGACTACGAGGGGGCAACACTGATGGAGTGTGAGCTAAATCCCCGCATTCCCTACACGGAGCTCTCCCACATCATCAAGAAGCAGAAGGAGGTTGTGTGTGTGCTTTTTGTGGAATGTGCGTATGGGGGTAAGCACACCTGTGAGCACATGTGTGGCTGTGGACCACATGTCCATGCATGTGCTTATGTGAGGTAGGGCCAGGATCTTGGTTCTTGCTCTGCCTCTGGGGGAGGTTAGGAGGAGAGGCACCTGGATTCAGGGTGGGGCCTCTGACTGGCCCTGGGAGGGTAGTGGCTGGGGCTGGGGTTGGCCCCTCAGACCCCTCCTTCCTCAGATCATCAAGAAATTGATTGAGCGCAAACAGGCCCAGATCCGAAAGGTCTACCCCGGGCTCAGCTGCTTCAAGGAGGGCGTGAGGCAGATCCCTGTGGAGAGTGTCCCTGGCATTCGTAAGCGGGGCTCTTGGGGGGGGGGGCCCGTTGCTTGGAGTGCGGGCAGACATTCTCAGGGACGTTTTCCGCACTCCCCACTGCAGGAGAGACGGGCTGGAAACCGCTGGGAAAGGAGAAGGGGTGAGTGTGGTGTGGGGGGCGGGAGGGGAGCGGCACAAGGACCAGGAGCCTCAGACTTGGCACCTATTGCCCCAGGAAGGAGCTGAAGGACCCTGACCAGCTCTACACTACCCTCAAAAATCTGCTGGCCCAGATCAAGGTGGGGAGACTGGGCTCTCTTATGGGGGTCCCTGTGCCAGTGGCTATGGCTTTGTGACCCAGTGTGGGGTGGGTGGCGGTCATGGGCTGGGTATGGGGCACAGTGGGCCTGCCCCCAGCTCAGCTCTTCTCTCCAGTCGCACCCCAGTGCCTGGCCCTTCATGGAGCCTGTGAAGAAGTCAGAGGCCCCCGACTACTACGAGGTCATCCGCTTCCCCATTGGTGAGCATGCTCCATTCCAGCCCCTTTCATTTTGCCCTCAAGTCCTGCCCCTGCCTTCACTGGGCCACAGAGCTCCCTGTGACCCACTCTCCTCAGCCTTGAAGGCTTACCCTTCTGTCCCGCTGCCCCAGACCTGAAGACCATGACGGAGCGGCTGCGCAGCCGGTACTACGTGACCCGAAAGCTCTTTGTGGCGGACCTGCAGCGGGTCATCGCCAACTGCCGCGAGTACAACCCCCCAGACAGCGAGTACTGCCGCTGCGCCAGTGCCCTGGAGAAGTTCTTCTACTTTAAGCTCAAGGAGGGAGGGCTCATTGACAAGTAGTCCCCAGCCTTGGACCGTGGCCTCAACCTTGAATGTCTCCACCTCAGGTTCTGATCTGATCCCTGGGAGACCCCTGGTGCCCAGGTCCCTCTCAGCTTGAGACACTCCAGCCCCTGATCCTGTAGCCCTTTGTGGACCCTTGGGCACCCCCAAGCCTGCAGCCCTGTCCCACCCTTCATTGTGTCTGACCTTGGGAGGGGCTTTCTGGGTCTGGGGCTCAGCCCCTCTACAGTGGTTGGTGGCCAGAGGATAAACCCTGCCCAGCTATGGGCTCTCAGCCCAGGTCCCCACCGAGCTACCGTGTTCTTAGAGTCCTGGGCCTGGCCCAGGTCACTGTTTCCTCAAGGACAGGACTAACAATTTTAGCTTGAGTGAGGGGGCTCCAGGGTTTGGAAGTTCAACCCGAACTGGAGGGGCCATGCTTTGCCCTGCACTGTTCTGTCTGTCCCCCATGGGTGGGGGACATGGGGACCATTTGTTTCCTGGCATTAATCCCTTGGAGGGATCAATAAAGCTCTTTTGTTTTTTTTCTGTGTGATTGTTTCTTCAGTAGCACCCCAGGCCTTAGCAGGCTGACCCTGTTCCTTCCAGTACCTCCAGCAAGTTGGAGACTGTTAAGCTCAGACTGTGCTGAGGATCCCTCCCCAGCAAGCCTCACGCCTAGTCCCATGCCCCTGGGGTGACAGGACCTCCCTGGCTGCAGCCTCCACTCCTGGACGGCGGGGGTCCAAATCTTCCCCCTGGCTGCCTTTGCCTGGGTGACATGGTTGCAGCTGGCCCTGCTCTTAGGGGCAGGGGTGGCTGGCAGGATCGAGAAGTTATGCAAAGGGGCTTTCCTGTCAGCATTTTCTGTCCTCGCCCAGACCCGTGAGGGGCAGGGATTCCTAAGGCTGAACTCCAACTCAGCTGGGCTGGCTCCTCCCCTCAGTTTCGGTTTCATTTACGATCTCAGCAGAGCTCAGTAGCAGGCACCCGGGCTAAGCCAAGCAGGGCTGCCTTTGGCAGGTGGTAAGGTAAGGCTGGGCAGAGGTCAGGTCTGTCTTACTCCTGCCTCCCCTGGCCAGATCCATTCCACTTCCTTCAAGCAGAGTGCAGTCGGGCAAAGGGAGGGGTCTGCACCAGACTGGGTTGCTGGAAGCAGGTAAGGGGCAGATCTGGGGGGAGGTCAGGCCTAGGAGGGGGTCAGGAGGGCCAGGGGTCTGAGTCACCTGCCATTCTCAGAATGGAGCTTCGACCCTACCAGTGGGAAGTGATCGCGCCTGCCCTGGAGGGCAGGAATATCATCATATGGCTGCCCACGGGTGCTGGGAAGACCCGGGCAGCGGCTTATGTGGCCAAAAGGCATCTCGAGACTGTAAACGGAGCCAAGGTGGTTGTATTGGTCAACAGGGTAAGTAGCCCACCCTCCCCTCAGTGGGTTCTCGGCTTCTTGGGTACCTCTCAAGACCCTCCAGAACAGAGATGCTGTGGCTATCTCTAAACTCACCTTTTCACCCATCCCTCTCATTGCCTCCTCCCCATCCCTTTGACCCAGATCCAGCTTCCTCTCCCCATCTCATCTGCACCCCCAGGTACACCTAGTGACCCAGCATCGTGAAGAGTTCAGCCGCATGCTGGATGGGCGCTGGGCCATTACAACACTAAGTGGGGATATGGGGCCACGACCCGGCTTTGGCCACTTGGCCCGTAGGAATGACCTGCTCATCTGCACAGCCGAGCTGCTGCAGATGGCACTGACCAGCTCCGAGGAGGAGGAGCATGTGGAGCTCAATGGTGAGGGCTGTGGGCACCTGAGGCACCCCTGCCTGCCAAACCCAGGACCCCTCTTCTAGTAAAGATGTTGGGAGATTTTGTGGGAGTGAGAGCTTCCCTATTCTCCAAACCACAGCACACACCCTAGTAAGAAAAAGACCTGGCTACAGTGAAGGATCTGGGGCAAGACCCTTCTCCCAGCTTGAGCCTCAGTTTATTAATTTGTAAAATGGAGGTAAATCATCCCTGACTGGCCATTCTCTGGGGTCTGGCTGTACGTTGTGAAGGGAGGAAGGAATTCTCAGATGAATTGTGGCAATCACATGAGATAAAACTTTTGGGAGGAAGGGCTTTGCAAATACAGGTTTTCACAGCCTTCCCCATGTGCCCTCAGCCTTCTCTCTCCTTGTGGTGGATGAGTGTCACCACACGCACAAAGACACTGTCTACAACGTCATCCTAAGCCGGTACCTAGAGCATAAACTCAGGAGGACGCAGCCTCTGCCCCAGGTGCTGGGTCTCACAGCCTCCCCAGGCACTGGCAAGGCCACCAAGCTTGATGGAGCCATTGACCACATCCTGCAGGTCAGCTTGGCCCCTCTGACCTTCCCCCCACCTGACCCACCAGAGACCTCCCTGGCCTACCCTACCCCATGCCCACCAGTCCTAGCCTGGCTCACCCAGGCAGGAGGATCTGGACCCCTCCTCACCTAAGTTCCAGCCTACAAAGACTCGGTGCACTTAGAATAAATACCCACTCTCCTCTGGCTTACCAAGTTCTGTGTGACCTAGCTCCTGCTTCAGTCTCCAGCCTCACTTCCTCCCCTCCCCCCCCACTCCTGCTATGCTGGCCTCTCTGTAGCTTGAGCATGTCAGGCTTGCTCCCATCTCAGGACCCTTGCACTTGCCATTCCTTCTTCCCTGAATACCTTCCCCCTGTACTTTACCAGCCTGGCTCCTTCTTGTCATTCAAGGAACAACTTAAATGTCACACCTTCAAAGCCTTCCCTTATCACCCCCACTGTACTCTGTCATATTCAATTTTATTATCGTCAGAGCTTGTTAACGCTATCTGAAATTCTCTCATTTGTTATTCTTTACTAGCTTATCATCTGCCTCCCCATTCCCAATGTTCTGTCTCCCCAGTACCTAGTATAGCACTGAGCACAGAGGGCGAGCAATAAAAATTTATTGAATAAATGAATCCCCACTGCCAATGGCCCTGCCTCTGCTGGGACTCATCCTGCCCCAAAGCTCTGCCCATGGTCCCCCACAGGACCCCATTCCAGTGAACCCCTCTCTGTTGCCCCAGCTATGTGCCAACCTGGACACATGGCGCATCATGTCACCCCAGACCTACCGCTCCCAGCTGCAGGAGCACAACCACCGGCCCTGCAAACAGTATGACCTCTGTCACAAGCGCAGCCAGGTATGTGGAGGGAGGGGCATGGGGTGGAGGTGGGGTCTGGAGTGAAATTAGGGCACCTGGGGTTAACTTGACTCCACTTTCACAAGCTCTGTGACTTCAGTTTGCTTGCTTATGTCTCAGAGCCTCCATTTCTTCTTTCTGTGAAATGGGGCAGATTCTGCCATTTGGTTTCACTCAGATGCCACCACCGTGGACATCTGTCAAAACCCTGGGCACCCAGTAGAGAGCTTTGCAAACCATCAAGCTGGGGCACTTTGTGCTGAGGCTGTCCCATCTCTCTCCTTTGGTGTGGGCACTGTCTGGTGTCTGCTATGACTAGGACTAGGCATCACTGTGCTCAGGCCAGAGGTCAAGGGCACATATGGGGTGGAGACAGAACAGGAGTCACGTGCAGGAACCTGACCCCTGCCTCCAGCCAGGACTCTGTTACACTACAGCTGTATAGGAATTTCCTCACCCCTCAGTCGTCTCGTCTAGGACCCGTTTGGGGACATGCTGAAGAAGCTCATGGAACAAGTGCACGACCGCCTGGACATGCCTGAGTTGAGCCAGGACTTCGGGACGCAGACGTATGAGCAGCAGGTGGTGGAGCTGAGCAAGACTGGTGAGAAGAGCGATGGAGGAGGGCCTGGCGACGGGGCAATCCAGGACCGGGCCTTCCCCGGGCGGAGCCTTCAGGGGGTGGAGCTAAGCCTTTGGGGGTGGAGTCTAGGTGAGAATGGACCCTGGGGCGTGACTGCTCAGGCACTGCTCTCTGCGGTCCGCAGCGGCCGAAGCCGGGCTCCTGCAGCGGCGGGTGTACGCGCTTCACCTGCGACGCTACAACGACGCGCTGCTCATCCACGACACGGTCCGCGCTGTGGACGCCCTGGCCACTCTGCGGGACTTCTACCTCAAGGAGCGTGCCACCAAGACCCAGGTCCTGTATGCTGAGCGCTGGCTGCTGGCACTTTTCAATGGTAAGGCTCCAAGGGGCGGAGGGGGTCAGAACTGGACTAGAGGGCAGAGGCCAGCCAGGCCCAGGCGCTACCCAGCTGTGAAGGTGCCAGCAAGAGTCCTGGGGCCCTTTTTTTCTAACCAAAAGTCAGGGCTGTGGATATGACAAAAGATATATGCCCACATTTGTGAGGGTTTGCGTAGATGTAAACACTATTTTACATTATTGACAAATATTTTTGAAAACCATTTAAGTGGGACTGAAAGTCTAGGAACTAGAAAATGAGGTGGTCAGAGGGTGAAATTTAAGGCTAGCGGCCTCAGCACAGGCTAAGGGGCAAGGATGTTTCTTTTTTTTTTTTAATCCTCACCCGAGGACATTTTTCCATTTTTTGTTCAGATAGAGCGGGAGGAGAGAGAGGTAGAGAGAGAGAGAGAGAGAGAAACATCGATGTGTGGCTGCCACCCGCAGGACCAACCAGGGTCGGGGACAAACTGCATCCAAGCTACGTGCCCTTAGCGGGAACCAAACCCGGGTCTCTCTGTACCGCAGGCCGACGCTCCAACTGCTGAGCCAAACCGGCCAGGGCGCAAGGATGTGTCTGAAGAGACCTGAGGTTGAGTCAGTCCTGGGTTGCAGGTCAACCATGAAAAGGTCAAGGGTCATCCTGGTAGCAGGGTTAAAGAGGGGTGTTGGATAAGGTGTGTGAGCAAAGAATTCTAGACTGTAGGCCCCTGGCATAAGGCTGTTTGGCCTTTAGGCTGGGCAGGCAGAGGGTGTCCTTACATGTGTTCTTGGTGCTGCTCAGGGGAAATTAGGCAGGAGCAGGTATCCTCAGGCCCCCTCTGGACTCCTGCAACCTTATCCCTGTGAGCCATCCACCCTCATGGCCTACCCACCTCCAGGCCTGAGTCCTGTGCCTCTGATTTTGGGCTTTTCTGGCAGACCACGAGAATGAGCTGGCCCTCTTGGCAACTCATGGCCCGGAGAACCCCAAACTGGAGGTGCTGGAACAGATCCTGCAGAAGCAGTTTGGGAGCCCTGGCAGCCCCCGGGGCATCATCTTCACCCGCACCCGCCAGAGCGCTCATTCCCTCCTGCTCTGGCTCCAGCAGCAGCCTGGTCTGCAGACAGTGGACATTAGGGCTCAGCTGCTGATCGGGGCTGGGAACAACAGCCAGAGCCACCATATGACCCAGGTGTGGGCTTTGGGGAAAGGAGCTGAGGCTGGGGAGTTCTCTAGGGGAGAAGAGAAGGGGAGAGAGTCTTCAGCACAGAGGGATGGGGGGACTGATTATCCCCAGGCAGAGAACAGAGCTGAGGACAGAGATGGACTCTGAGATCCCCAGGGCTGAAGGTTCCCCCAGTCTGAGGATCTCTGGGGGCAGAGAGGCAGAACTTGGGGTCTGTAAGAAAAGAAGTGAGTGATGTCCTCAGGACAGAGGGTAGAGGTCTGGGGTCCCTTGCAGAAGAACAGGTCCTGAGAGCTCCTAGAATACAGGGCAGGGACCCTTAGGAGGCCCTAGGGGAGAGAGGGGTTAGATATTCACCTGGGAAAATGGGCAAGATCCTGGGGGTACTTGGAGATAGAGGTGGAGACTCAGGGTCCCTCAGAAAAGGGGCCAAGATTTTGAGTGAAAGGGCTGAACCAGGAGAGACTGAGCTGCAGAGGGTAGGCCTGAAGCCACCTCCTATACCATCCTCATTCTCCTCCCCCAACCACAGAGGGACCAGCAAGAAGTGATCCGCAAATTCCGGGATGGTACCCTGAACCTCCTGGTGGCCACAAGCGTGGCAGAAGAGGGACTGGACATCCCCCAGTGCAATGTGGTTGTACGCTATGGGCTCCTGACCAACGAGATCTCCATGGTCCAGGTGCCCAAACCACCCCCCTCAACAGTCCTCAAAGGATCTTGTGTGGGAACCTGGCTCCACTCAGACCCCTCTCTTATCTCCCTCCCCAGGCAAGGGGTCGTGCCCGGGCCAATGAGAGTGTGTACTCATTCGTGGCAACCCAAGGGAGTCGGGAGTTGCGGCGGGAGCAGACCAATGAGGCACTAGAGGTTCTGATGGAACAGGCAGTGGCTGCTGTGCAGCAGATGGACCAGGCTGAGTACCAGGCCAAGGTCTGTGGACAGCCTGTGCGCCCGTGGGGAGGGGGCTGTGGACATTCTCCATGCAAGGTCTCTGATGCAAACACGCACACATCCCTGTTCCCCCTTTCTCTGGGGATAACTTGGCCCACCTGGTGAAGGTCTGAATCCAGGGAAGGGAGGCCAGGCATGGGGTTGCCAGGAAGACAATGGTTATTTCTCCAAAATGCCTTGGGAACAGTCCTTGTCCCGGGCTTTTAATTTATCTTCATCACCAAATACTTTGTGTGTCTATGAGAGCCGCTTTATAGCCCTTCTGGAACCAAGTAGAGTGGAAACAAACAAAGATATGTACAAAATAAGCCTAGGACCAGGACTTCAGTCAGTCCCCTCAGGTAGTCACCATTGTCCAGCCTTGTGCAAGATGGTCCCTGTTGTCTCCTGTTGTCCCATTGTAATTATTATTATTACTTTTTAATCCTCACCCGAGGGTATTTTTACATTTATCTTCAGACAGAGAGGGAGGGAGAGAGGGAGGAAGAGAAAGAGAAAACACCAAAGTGAGAGGGACACATCGGCTGCCTCCCGCACAACCCCACCAGGGGCTGGGGACGAACCACAACCGAGGCATGTGCCCATAGCAGGAATCAAACCCGGGTCTTATTGGTCCACGGGCTGATGCTCTAACTGCTGAGCCAAACTGGCCAGGGCCCATTGTAATTATTGATGGTACCCCATGTTAGATTCAAAGAAGCAACTTTGCATGAAATCCTCCAAAGTGGGGGCAGAGATTCAGTGAGAAAGCTGTCTTTCAACCCAGTATTCTTTTTCTCCACCTAGCTGCTTTTGAAAGCTCCAGGGACGGTTGAGTAGTCTCTCTGTGCACTAATGATCAATCTGAGGTCTTTGGGAGCCCTGTGTCCCCTAGGAGCATTCCTGGGCTCGGGTCTCTTGGGCCCCAGACATGCCTGGTGTCCCCTCCCACCCCAGATCCGGGATCTGCAGCAGGAAGCTGTGGTCGGTCGGATGGTCCAGGCGGCCCAGCGGGAGCGTCATCAGCAGCAGTTCCTGGCGGAGCACGTGCAGCTCCTCTGTATCAATTGCATGGTGGCCGTGGGCCATGGCAGCGACCTGCGGAAGGTGGAGGGCACTCACCACATCAACGTGAATCCCAACTTCTCGTGAGACCTGTGAAAGGGGCTGTCTGGATGAGAGGAAGGGGAGGGTGCATTAAGAGTTTGGGAGGTTAAAGAGCATTTTATCAAGTACCGAGTTAGCATTTTCACAGTAGTCTGGTTAGACAAGTTTTTATCACCACCCCATCTCACAGGTGAGGAAATAGAGGCTCAGAGAGGCTTAGTGACTTGCCCAGGCTCCCACAGCCACTATGTGGTTGAGCAAGAGCTGGCATTCAGGATGCCAAATGCTGAGGGGCCACAAAATGGCCCCCTGGTCCTGCCATATTCTGAAGACATCAAGAGGGGCTGGTTGTCCCTGTGCCATTCCCTCATCCTCTGCCCCCTAACGAGTAGCCTTCCCCTATGCTCCATTCACTTATTTATTAAGTAAATATTCATTAGGTGCCTGTGTGCCAGGCCACTGTGCCAATGGTCTTCACATATCTTTTCTCATTTGAGGTGGTAGCAACTAGGTCTTGGTGGAAGGATTGGGTTTGACTGAGAAGATGAGGACAGACAGGGATGATAGGATGGGAGTGATGTTAGTTGACTTGATTGGAAGAGATTGCGAAGGATGAGATTCTGAAGGAAGGCAGACTAGGCTATAGAGGATCTTGAAGGTCAGACCTGAAAGTTGAGCCTTTATCCTATAGGCAGTGAGGAGTCTTGAATGGATTTTGAGCATGGGAATGTCAGAGTCAGATTTGCATTTTTAGAAGATCACTCTGGCAGTTGGCGGAAGGATAGTGGGGTGGGAGTAGGGATGGAATGGGGTGGGAGGATGAGGCAGGGAGATCCATTGGGAGACTGTTAGATCGTCCAGGTAGGTAGTGCCAAGGCCTGAACATGGGCAGAAGGGAGTGGGATGGAGGCAGCAGAGACAGAGCTTATTGAAGTCTCTGCCTCTTGACAGGCAGGAAGGCCCAAGGCCCAGGCAGAGGCTCAGCAAGTAGGGTGGCATGTGTTCTGGGGCGGGGAGTCCATGAGGGCTGTGGCCACTCCCACTTCTTTCCAGGATCTACTACAACGTCTCTGACCAGCCTGTGGTCATGGACAGAGTCTTCAAGGACTGGGTGCCTGGAGGTGTCATTAACTGCAAGAACTGTGGGGAAGTAAGTGCTGGGACCATGGCCCTCAGCTCCGGTCTTTAGAAGTCCTCATTCTGAAAAGGAGGCCCAGCCATCAGGGAGACAGCTCTGCCCAAGGAGTTCCCAGGCTGAAGAGAGTGGTCCAACCCATATTTTAGGGAGCCCACATTGGGATGAGGGAGCTAGTTCTGTATGGGATAGGAGACATAAGCCCCGCATTCAGAAACCCTAACTTGAGGAGAAAAGCCCAGTCTGAGGGTAGACACCCAGACGCCACTGTCTCTGTCCCACCTCCAGCACTGGGGTCTGCAGATGATCTACAAGTCATTGAAGCTGCCGGTGCTCAAAGTCCGCTCCATGCTGCTGCAGACACCAAAAGGACGGATCCAGGCCAAGAAGTGGTCCCGCGTGCCCTTCCTGGTGACTGACTTCAACTACGGGGAGTACTGTGCCCAGAACCTGTCAGACCTTTCCCTGTACTGACCATCTTGTTACTGCAGTACCCAGATCAGGCTGTAGGGGGCAGGAGAATCCACAGCAGCCACCATCTTCCCCGGAGTGAAGTCTGGGTACTGGTCCCTACTGCCTGAGTCACCAGCTCAGGGCCCCATGCTGACCAGCCACAGAGGAACTCCAGGTGCCCAGGCTGGCTTCAACTTGCACTGAGGAAGGAGCTGAAGGGACACAGCTCACCCCTGACCCCCTCACATCCACACGGACACTTTCCTACACACTGGATGGAGCAGGGGAGAACTGAAGCCGGAGAATGGCCACACTGTACAGCAGTGCCGCCTTATCCTTGCTTTCGCTTTTGCCATTTTTTACTCACAATTAACTGTGGTCCAAAAATATTAAATGGAAAATTCCAGAAAAAAAAAACATTTATAAGTTTTAAATTGCACACCACCATTCTGAGTATTGTGATGAAATCTCACGCCATCCTGCTTGGTCCCACATGGGACATGAATCATCCCTCTGTCCAGGGTATCCATGCTGTCTATGCTATCCGCCTGGTAGTCACTTAGCTGTCTGGGCTATCAGGTCATCTGTCAAGGTTTCACAGTGCTTGTGTTTGAATAACCCTTACAGTGGCCTAACACTATGTCACAATGTCTACGTCATCCACTTCACTTCATCTCATCATGTGGGCACTGAATCTTCTCACATCACAAGAAGGCAAGTACTGTACAATAAGATATTTTCAGAGAGACCACATGCACATAACTTATTACAGTGTATGTTATCATTGTTCTATTTTATTATTAGTTGTTAATCTCTTCCTGTGCCTAATTTATAAAGTAAACTTTATCATAGGTATGTATGCACGTATGTATGTATAAGAAAAAACATAGTATATGTAGGGTTTGGTACTGTCTGTGGTTTCAGGCATCCCTGGGGGTCTTGGAACATACCCCCCATGGATTCCGTACTAGGAATCACCACAGTTTCCCTCGGCCCTTTGACATTCATTTCTTCCCTGCAAGGCCACTTCTACTTTTTGAGGCTCCCCACAAATCAAAAATAAAGCAATGGAAAAATGATGTCGAAAATGTGTGGTATTTTAAAAACAGATTTGTTGAGGCATAATTGACAAACTGTACATATTTATAGCGTTTTCGTTGCATGTATGCTCCTTCACAATCAGTGAACATGGCCATCACCCTGAGAACTTTCCTTGTGCCCATTACAACCCCTACCTCCTCCCCTCTCCATTCACCGATCTGCTTTGTGGTATATTTTGAATGTTTAAAAAAAAATTTTTTTAACGCCCCTATTTTGGCTAACCTTATTTGGAGAAAGCATCAGAAGTCTAAATTTGAGAGCCATCGAGAATGTGAGGCCTTCCTGCCCTCTTCTCCTCATAAGAGGCTCCAACCCCAATACCCCATCTTCCCCGAACCCCCCGGGTCATCTTCTCTGGGCTGGAGTGGGAGAGACCAAGATGATTTGAGGGATAGGTAGGAAGGTGGAGAAAGTTAAAAAGGCCTAAATTTTCTGTTCTCATTTCTACAAGAAAGAAAGAAAGAAAAAGAAAGGCAAGATCTAGGTTGATTCTTCAGGGAAAGGGCTATTTCTGTAGTAAGAGGCCCAGCAGGCACGAGTCACCTTCAAGAGGAAGGGAGGGGCTAGGGCAGAGATTTCAGAGCTGGATGGCTGTCCTTCCTGCCATCTAACCGCTCTGACTACATCCTTGGTCCTGCTTCAGGATAGATGAGGAAAAAATACACTCTCCCTTCCCCAGTATCTTCTTTCTTTAGTCCACCTCTTCTCTGATTGAGAGCTAAAAGTCCAGTTCTAGGCTTTTTGGTTTTCCCCCTAAGAGAGTGTACCCTTCTTTTCCAGGGCCCCTCTTCCTTCTACTCTCCAGTGTCCCTTGGCCCTGGTTTCCGGAGTTACCCTTCTCCCTCCTGTCCCATCTCCGCCTCTTGGGGTCCCTTCTGCCCATCAGCTCCCACTTCACCTTCAGTTGCTATCGCCCCTGCCAACAACGTGCCTTTTACAGGTCAATAAAATTAGCGACAGGGGGGCGGGGGCCCAGGGGTGCTAAGCTCAATGGCCTTGAATGCGACTGGACGCACGGAGTCGGACGCCTGTCATTCCAGGGCTAAACAGTGACAGCTGAGGGACCTGAGGTGGCGCTGGAGGCAGAGGGGGGCTGTGTTGCAGGGAGAGAGACTGACCGAGGATAAAGAGGACCAGGGCACTTGTAGCCCCTCAGTGACCTGAGCCCCTGGATGGGGACCCTGACTTTAGAGGGAGCATCCTATATCACATCCACTTTACCAGGCTGGGAGAGCTTTCTTGAGCTCAGATGGAAAGGGGAACTCAGGCAAGGAGGGCTTCTGGGCTTTCATCTTCGTTGTGAGGGGTTTTTCTATGGAGCCACTGCCTCAGGGCAAGGCTGCCCGAAGGAGAGGATTTCATGAGGTTCTCAGGACCCAGGCATCTTAACTTCTCAGCCCTCAGAAAACCCAAAGCTCCAGACCTCCCTAGTGGCTCCCCCCTTCCTCCCCACCTGAATAAGCCGGTCCACCCACCGGAGGAGACTCAGGGAGGGGCCCGGCCGCGGCTCCCCTTCCCAGGCCCCGCCTCCGGCCCCGCCCCGCCCCCTCCCTGGCCGGCCCAAAGCCGCTGCGCTCGAGAGCGCAGCGAGAGCAGGTGGCCGCGCCGGGCTCCGTCTCTGCCCCGCAGGTAAGTCAGCGACGCGGTCTGGTCCATGCTGAGGATCTCGAGGGCAGAGCAGGAGAACAAGGCAGCCCCTTACACCTATCCTGCACCCTCGTCTCAAAACTGGGGGACCTCAAGGGACAGTGGGGACATCCCTATCAGCTCTGAACTCTGATGCCCGGCATCTAGAGGGTGGAACTAAACTCGGGGGAAGTTTAGCGGGTCCTGGCTGGTTATCCTCGATGCCGAGGCCGCCTCCGAAGGAAGGGGAAGGGCAGAGGTGGGCATTAGGCACACTGGAGGAGAAAAGGTTGGGGTTGGTGACTGCGGGGCTTCGTAAGGAACCTCTGACTAGCATGCCCCATGCCTCATTTAGGTGCAGCATCCTACTGGCCCCCACTTAGAGAGTGATGAAGGTGACCCAAACACCTTCTGTTCAATATGTAAATGAGGTAAGAGCCAATGCACAGCTGAGCTGGGGCCTGGGTTTACTGATGAGCTCCAGGGTACCTGCAGTACTTGTTTACATCTGGGTACCGATATGCAAGGGTGAGGGGGATGAGACAGCAGGGGTTGTCCAGATTGCCTGAGGAATCTAGAGGCCTGGGGACTGATTAGGTTTTTTTCTGTGTCCATGCCTCAGAGCCAGATTGGGGAGGTGATCATGGAAGTGGCCCTTATGGTAGACACGGGGTGAATTTGCACCCTCTGTGTTGGGATTTGGGCTGTAGGAGAGGGGTCCTGCCTCCGAGAACTTCAAGGAAGGCTTCCTGGAAGAGGAGGTCCTGAGCTGACAGCTCAGATGCGATGCTTAGAGCTCTGAGCCACAAAGGAGCGTCAGACTTTGGGCCTTGGTGCTGGGTTGGGATAGAGCAGAGGACTTCAGACTGTAGAGCAGAGGGAGGTCAGGATACGGCCATGGGTCCAGCCAGGACCCCACTGACCTTCTAGACTGTCACAAACCTACAAACAGACCAACATCCAAGCTCAGTTAGCAGGGCTTCCTGTGTCTGCTTTCCCTATTCCATTGTCTCCTCTTACCACACACTATCATTGTCAGAAAGTTCTTTCTCATATCTGACCTTCATCCCTTCTGCTTTTGTGCCAGCTTCTTGCTTCTGGGAGGCAATGTGTCATAGTGGAAACCGTGGAGGCTTTGGGGTCAGTTAGACTTGAGTTCTATCACGCTATCTACTGTGTGACCTGGGCAGGTTATTTAACTTCTTTGAGTTCACTTCCCCACCTGTAAAATGGGGATAATAATAGAATCCACCTCATAGGGTGGCTGCAAGGATTAAGTGAGAATATGCCTGTAGAGCGCTTAGCACGGTGCCTGGCGTCTGGTGAGGGCTCAACAAGTATAAGTGTCCCCTGTGTGCAGGACAGCAAAGCTGATCTGCAGGGGGTGGGGGTGGAGGTTGAAAGTTTTTTTTTAACTTGGCCAGAGAGAGCAATGCCCTTCACCACCATCTTTCCATCAGCCCTCATCCCCTGCTGGCCCCTGGATCTCTGCTGGACCTGTCTGGGCTGACCAGGGCCCCTCACCTCCTCATCTCTTAATCACCCTCTCTAGAGTGAGGAGAGGGACCCCCGCAGGGCAGGGACCAGTGGCAGCAGGAGCCCTCTTGGGGCTGTGCCTCAGGGGAACACACTGGCTTAGACACCTGACCAAAAAAATGCTCCTTTGTCATCACCTCCCTGGCCTCCCCACCTCCAGAAATCTACAAGTTGGGATCAAGCTGCACTTCTTCTATGAAGATTAATAATATAAGTTACTGAAAGTCCTGCTTGGTGATCATTCAAGCAGCCCTCCAATGGAATGACAGCTTCAGTCCTTGGCCCGAGGTCTGGAGGCTGCTGGGGAGGCTGGGTCCAGTAAGCACCACTAACCCTAGGCAAGGGAGGGGGTGCCTGTGCCCTAACTGGGCACTTCTCCGGCCCACCCTCCCTGTGGGGCGAGCAATCAGCAGGGCCGAGGGGAAGAACTTGTTCATCCCCTTCAAGACCACATTCCTCATACCCCTGCCTGGATGCTCAGCTTGCTCCCAGCCCATGCAAGTCTCTCCCCTGGGCCTGTTCTCCTCAGGGCAGGTTATGCCACTATGTGCGCCACACACCTGAGGGAGGACTGGGGACAGCTAAGGGACAGCAGTTTGCAGAGCGTGAAGATGGAAGTAGGATGTGAGGCTGGGTGTCCCCAGATGTGCACGTGAGTCCTTTGTAGAGCAGAAGGAGCTGGAGGTAGGAAGGGGAGTGACGGGGGGAGTTGTGGGGGGGTTAGCCAGGAAGGTGGAACTCTCTCCCTCTGAGCATTGTCCGCCTGCAAAACTCCCCGGCGTCAGAGAACTCTGCACTGGAACCTGGTTTTCCAGGTTGTTATGGAAATCTATTTTAATGGACAGTTTGTTTGCTTGATTTATAACTTTTAAATATTTTGACATGTCTATGTGGGCCCTCATTTGTCCTCTTGCCCCAGGCCCTGCAAATGTTAGGGGTGGGCCTGGAAGTGCCTGTGACCGACACTCCCCTTTGGTGACTTCCCTTCCTGCTGGCTGCCCCCCAGTAGAGTCGAGCTCCTGTAAAACTGGGCATAGAGTACACCTTCCCTGGGCCAGGAAGGAGTTTCAAGGTAAATGAAGACTGCCAGCTGCCACCAATAAGCGGCGCCCCCTTGGGCCTCCTGACCTCATTCTCCACCCAAAATTGGGACAATTTTTTAAAAATGTCCTGTGATGCTTAAGAGAGAAAGGATGAGCAGGAGAGAGGTTGCTTATATCCTGAGTGTGGGGAGGGTGTGGGCACCCACTGGACCCAAGGAGCAAGGAGGGAGCTAAATGGGGCCACAGCAGCAGGAAGCATGGAAGTTAGACTCGGGGAAGATCAGGGCCAGACCCCACCATCCCTCCAGCTGCCCTTCTCAGAGGGAGCTGTGCCTGTGGCCAGGAAGGGGCCATGTGTCTGTAATGTGGGTCCTCCTGTACGTTTGCGTCTTGAGCTTTGGATGGGGAGGAGTGGAGGGGCAAGCTGGCCAGGTGGTGGGAGTCATTCCTGGCAGGAATGAGTGACATGTTGGACTCAACTGTAGTTGAGTGCCCTGTGGCACTAGGACACACTGTGTTCAGAAGAGAGAGACACGCGGCCTTTTTATGGCCGTCTCTGACTCACTCCGTTCCAACTGGACTATTTGAAGAGCATACCTGCCACCTTGGCCTCATTAGTGCTCTGAAGTGCTTACCGGAACTGGACACACGCACATTCAAACATGCACTCACACACATACACTCGCACACTCGCACTCAGACACGCACCCACCCCCGCACTCGTGTGCTGCACTAACTCAGATGCTGCTGTTTACGGCTGCACACCCC